TGAGGAGGGGGCACTCTGTGTCCTCCCTGGAAAAGTATGGACAAAATCTTGAGGATGTATGTCCTATGCCATATGGGCAGAACCAGCCACTGCTTTGTAGGTCTTCCTAGTCCCTTTCCTTGAGCCTTGGGTATAGGTGGTTGGGGTGCTATGCCATGTCCAAGCCTATTACCTCTAGGGCCTGGTTCCTACTGGGGCTGTGCATCTCCACCCCAGAAGCCTTTGGGTCCAAGGCTCAAAGGGACAGCCTGATGGGTGGGTCAGGGGCAAAGGACTATCTTCACCCAGCTTCTAACACTCAGATATGGTCTGATACCTATTGCCCAGAAGTGTCTGCTCCTGCTTTAGGCATGGCTTCTTTGGCTATCCAGTGTGGAAGAGTCTCTACCCTATTGTGCCCTGAAAGGTTTCTGAGGCTTTCAGCACCTTTTCTCTGGACAGAGGTTTAGGCCTTGGTTAGCTGTACCACCTCCATGGTCCCTTCTCTGACCATCCAGGCAAAGAACCTCACCAGTGTTTCCCTTTCAGTATTGGCCAGTGGCTCCATCAGTTTGGGTAGTTGGCCAGGTTGGTGGCTCCAGGCCTGGGACTGGTGCTTGTGAGATGGATGAGGATGGAGATCAAACACTGAGTCTCAGGCTCAAGTCCAGAGGCTTAGTCCTTAGATGAGCTACACTGGTCCACACTCTTGGAGCTTTGAGTATTGTTAGAGTAGCTGACCCCAGTACAGAAAAACCCACCCCTGATCTTTTCTATTTGATGGGTCTTTCGGCTGCCTGTCCTGTCCTCAGGGCCTGCTTATAGCCTCTAGGCTCTTAACTAGGCACTGAAGGGACCAGTACCCTGGGCAAGGCTAAGTGTCAGAGGTGTTGGGGTCAGGTCGGCTGTGTTAGCACCACTGGGGTTGAACCCTCCTGATTGTCTCTTGCAGATCCTGAGTAATGCCAGGTTATTTTTAGAGAACCTCATCAAGTGAGTACTTTCCCAGGCCCCTTATCTCTCCCCTGCCTGCTCAGGCCGTGAGGCCCACCTCTACTCAGGCCCCCATTGCCCCACCCCCAGGTATGGCATCCTGGTAGATCCCATCCAGGTGGTGTCTCTGTTTCTGAAGGACCCCTACAGCTGGCCTGCCCCATGCCTGGTTATTGGTGAGCTGCACTCCAAGAAGGGCCATGGGTGGGGGATAGGCTGGCCAGGGCCTGAGCCTGTCCTGTGATGCTCTGTCCTCAGTATCCAACATCTTTCCTGTGGCTGCATTTCAGATCGAGAAGCGCCTGGCAGTGGTAAGTGGTGTGGTGCCCATCCCCCTCCTTGCTCCAGTCACTGGTGGCCTACTGGTGATAGGCTCTTCTTACTAGGCCTGATAGTCCTCTCCCAGGGCAGAGGACCTGGTTGAATGCTCTCTCCCTCTCCAGGGTGCCTTGACAGAGCAGATGGGGCTGCTGCTACATGTGGTTAACCTGGCTACTATCATCTGCTTCCCAGCAGCCGTGGCCTTACTGGTTGAATCCATCACTCCAGGTGTGTCTCCATCCCAACCATCCCAGCCCATGCTGAGCTGACCCCAGGTTATTCATGTGATGTGGTTGGTCATAGCTGAGCCTACCTTTCCTGTGTTAACCATGGTGTGTGGGCAGACATGGCTGATCCACCTATCTTGCAGTGGGTTCTGTGTTTGCTCTGGCATCATACTCCATCATCTTCCTCAAGCTCTTTTCCTACCGTGATGTCAACTTATGGTGCCGCCAGCGAAGAGTCAAGGCCAAAGCTGGTAAGAGGCTGTCAGGACTAGGATTTGCCTGTAGGACTGACCCTGGGCTGCATGGCTCACCTGCTGTCTTGTTTTGCTGGCAGTTTCTGCAGGGAAGAAAGTCAGTGGGGCTGCTGCTCAGCACATGGTGAGCTACCCAGACAACCTGAACTACCGAGGTGAGGACCCGTGGAGTTGGGGCTCTCTCTCAGAGGCAGGACTGTAAGTCAGGCTCAGGGCTCTGTAGTCCTAGTGCCCACCCTTCCCTTCTAGATCTCTACTACTTCATTTTTGCTCCGACTTTGTGTTATGAACTCAACTTTCCTCGGTCCCCACGAATACGAAAGCGCTTTCTGCTACGACGGGTTCTTGAGATGGTAGGTTTGGGCCTTGAGGGCTGGTTTGGGCAGGGCTTGGGGTATGTGTGCAACTGAAGTCTCAGCCTAGTGCTGTGTTCTCCCCCCAGCTCTTTTTCACCCAGCTTCAAGTCGGGCTGATCCAACAGGTACGTGGTGTGACTGGGTGTATGGTAGGGCTTAGCATAGCTGAGGGAAACGAATGTGCTGCTTTCCTTTGCAGTGGATGGTCCCTACTATCCAGAACTCCATGAAGCCCTTCAAGGTAAGGTTAGGTTCCACTGTGGCGGGGGTGGATAGGGGAGATGATACAGCCAGCTGAGGCAGCCTCTCTCCACAGGATATGGACTATTCACGTATCATTGAGCGTCTCTTGAAGCTGGCGGTGAGTGTCAGAGGCTCCAGTGGGATAAGTGTGAGGGATAAGTGGGAAATCTGCAACCTGGAACTGTCTTCCCTAGGTTCCCAACCATCTCATCTGGCTCATCTTCTTCTACTGGCTTTTCCATTCCTGCCTGAATGCCGTGGCAGAACTCATGCAGTTTGGAGACCGTGAATTCTACCGGGACTGGTGGTGAGTGGTGTGTCCTTGGGGATCTGGGTAGGTCATGGCATGCTCTGCTTATCTCATTGTTTCTTGACCCCAAGGAATGCTGAGTCTGTCACCTACTTTTGGCAGAACTGGAATATCCCCGTGCATAAGTGGTGCAGCAGGTAGGGTGGTGTACGTACCTGTGGAATGTGGTTGTGGACCTGGGCCCTATGGCATTAGCCTCATCCTGTGGCTTCCTTGCTCTGCAGACACTTCTATAAACCTTTGCTCCGACTGGGCAGCAACAGATGGATGGCCAGGACAGGGGTATTTCTGGCCTCAGCCTTCTTCCATGAGGTAAGTGCTCTGAGCACATCCCACATCACCTCTGGGCAGGGCTATGGCCACCAGCTCAAACACTGACCTCTCTTGTCCCCATACTCTAGTACCTAGTGAGCATTCCCCTGCGTATGTTCCGCCTCTGGGCATTCACAGCCATGATGGCTCAGGTGAGCAACTCTGCAAAGCTTGTTTCCCTTAGTCTATATCTGTGCCAAGCCCCACCTGAGTGTAGTCTCGTTGTGTCCTCAGATCCCACTGGCCTGGATTGTGGGCCGCTTCTTCCAAGGGAACTACGGCAATGCAGCTGTGTGGGTGACACTCATCATTGGGCAACCAGTGGCTGTGCTCATGTATGTTCACGACTACTACGTGCTCAACTATGATGCCCCAACAGGGGCCTGAGATACTGCCAAGGGCCAGCCCTCCCTAACCTGGGCCAGGAGCTTTGGAGGGGTTCCTGGCTGCCTGCACACTCCTCCTAATCTGGGAGGCCTCTCTGCCCCTATGGGGCCCACTCCTGCTCTTGGGGATGGCACCTGAGTCCAGCTAATAATATAAGCCAGTGCTTGGGAATCTGTGCTGACCAGGGGCAGAGGGCATCAATAAAGTGCTGTCTAAAAACCTTCCTCAGCCTACTGGGGTTGTGGAAGCTGCTGAGGAGGACCTATACCCATGTGTGCTGTGCAGCCCCTGCTTCAGGGACTGACGTTCTCAGGCTCCGGCTAAGGGTATAGTGCTGGAAAGATTTGGGTCACATGGTTTCCGTCTACTTTACAATCTCACAGAGTATGCGACAAAGCTGTTCAGTTGCACAACAGGACACAGTAGGCAGCCACAGGCAGTGGTGGCTCAAGAACAGTGGCTGAGCAACGTTACTGCTCCTGAAAGCCTAGTGAGTTCTTGGCCTGCCCTATTAATGCATGCAGGCAGGACCAGGGCTCAGAGCTGTGTGCACTCAATAGAGGACCACCCTGTGGCAAGCTGGCTGTATTGTCTAGAGCCCTTGTGAGGAGTCGGGTTTAAGAAATGACATGTGGGGTTCAGGGTTTACTTGTGTTGATGTTGAACTCCAGGTAAGCACCCTGATTCCACAGGGCCACTGGTAGGAACCTAGACCTACATTTCTAGAGGCAGGGCAGTCATGGAGAGGACTTTGTATACTGACTGCCTGGGGTGTAGGAATTATATAAGCTGCACCTTTAATCTGCCTTAACTCCCTGGGATCAGGCTGCTCAACGAGTTGGGCTAGTGGCTCTAAGCTGTGCTGCACAGGGGCCAAACTTGACTGGGTTGGCCTACCCTGCTCTGAACAGAGGGATACTTTACTCCCAGTGCTGGTACCTGCCACACTGGACAGAGGACTTTCACAGGAAGAGTCCCATTGGCAATCCAGGGTCTCATCTTTGCCTTAACAGGTTAGTGCTTATCAACTGCCAGGCTGCAGACTTGAACCTGCAGTTACGTAGGTGTCTAATGCTAGGCAGTGTGATCTCAGCTGCCTCAGGCCACCTGTGAGGACATTTCCACCTCTGTCTTCACATTCCAAGGAGACATCAGCAACAAGTTCAGAACCAGTCCAGTACCTGATAGACGTGGGAACCTGGCTCTGCCAATATGTCCAGCATGCCCATGTAGAACCTCAGGATGGGGGAGGGGTACTGCTGACAACATGCATCAGAAAAAGCTGTGAGCCAGGTGGTGGCGCACGCCTTTAATCCCAGCACCTGGGAAGCAGAGGCAGTTGGATCTCTGTGAGTTTGAGGCCAGCCTGGTCTACAAAGTAAGTTCCAGGACAGTCAGGACTACACAGAGAAACCCTGTTTTGAACAACTCCCCCCGTCCCCCCCTCCCAAAAAAAACCAAAACTGTGAGCAACACTAGTTATATGGCATCAGCATCAGGTGGGCCTAGGGGTATCACAGGTATCTGTATTTCCCCAAGGAGGCATGTTTGCATTCTGGGCTCCTCACCTACACCCCCTTCTTCCGCATCCCGTAGGGCAGGAAGAAACACAGGAGGCTACAGTAGAACCTGTCTGTTTATCATTGTTCATATCTCTGTGTGTGTGTATATGTGTATAATATATATATTTATTTATTTATTTGTGAAGGGTTAAAGGGGACTCTCATGTAAAAATCCAAAATACAATTTTATGAACAACCTGCAGAGTCAGTCCAAGTGTGGCTGGGAAGCTCCAACACAGAAAACAGACCTGGGGCTGGGGTGAAGGCAGCAGGTATCCAGCCCTCAGGACCTTTCTCTTGACCTGAGGCACTGTCCAGGCCCAAACCCCATCTATGCTCCACTACAGTTGTGGTAGCTTGACCTAGGATGCCCTGGACTGCCCGGCTGTCTTGTCTCCCCAGGACCATCCATGTCCTAGGGGTAGGTTGGGAGCCAGCCACAAGCCATCCTGACCACTCCTGGGATCTCTAGGAGACAGTGGGGTCTTTGGCTTTGGGGGGTTCAGAGCCCGTCAGAAGAGAGATCGTGGGGTCATCCGTGTAGTCATCCCCCTCGGAGAAGTAGGAGCTTTCCCCTAGCTCAAAGAGCACAGGCAGTTCGCTGTTCCCTGTGTCCACGGCGTCAGGGTCCAGCAGGAACAGGGGCTGAGCCGTGTAGTGCACCAGCTGCTTCCCTGTGGGGCATGGGTCAGGATGGTGGGGTTGGGCAAGTTGGAAGTGAGGGTTAGGAGTAGGACAGAAGCTTAGCTCACCTGAGTCAGGGTTACTACTGTTCTCTGCCTCAATAGGCTTGGGGGGCTCTTGGGGAGATAGGAGATCCTGAATCTGTGGGACAGAGAACACACAATGAGGGTTGTTGATGGCCCCCTCTGCCCCCCACCCTGCCCGCCTACGCACGCTGGCCAGGCTGCTGTCCAGGTCAGGCAGGCTCATGTCGGGCATGGTCACCGAGGGGCTGAACAGCTGCAGGAGGAGGGAGGGAAGTCAGGGCTGGCTTGTGGGCAGGATGGGTCAGGGTGGGTGGGGATGACCAGACTCACGTCCAGCAGGGCGCTGGTGTCCACGCTGAAGCCGTGGCTTGTCAGCATGGTCTGCAGGTTGTCCAGGTTGGAGTCCATGGCATCCAAGTGATCACTGAGCTCGTTCCTGGCCCAGGGCAAGTGGGCAGGTGAACTAGTGCCCCAGGCTCCCACCCAGCCGCACTCCTGCTGGAGAAGGGCTCCCCTCTGGTTGCAGCCCCCCAGGCAAGGTCCATCTACATAGCCATCATGGGCTGGGGGACAGTGTGTGTGTATCTCTGGGAAGATGCCAGAAAGGGGAGTAGTAAGCCTGCCCTCCATGGCTGCTGAGGGTGGGATATAGCATGGCCCACAGGCAGGACAACCTAGGAGGCTTTGGTAGTGACTAAGGCTGGGACAAGAGGGTGGTGGAGAAAAAGGACAAGGGGCATTGGCTCTAGAATGGGCAGGAGGACAGGCAGATATTTCTGGCTCAACGAAGTCCTGCCACTGCACCAGGAAGAGTAAGAGAGGAAACAGGACTGTGCGTGGTATGGGTAGACCTGTACTCCCTTAGATCGGAGGGTCTTAGGCCAAGGACATACCTGAGCCATGGGCAAGGCAGTTAAATGGGCTCTGCAAGCGCCATGGGGCCTACCCTACCCTGACAGGAAGCTGTACTGGTGGCTGGGCCAGGCAGGAAACTTGTCCCTATCACAGCTACTGGCTTGTGCAAAGGGGAGTCAGTGGAGATGCAGAGCCTGTGAGACCATCCCCTGGTGCTCTTCGCCAGGCAGGGCAAGTGCTATGCCCAGGTTGGGAACTGGTCCATGGCTGTGGGAGGGGCCCTGGTGGAGTCCTCCTCCCTCCCAAGTGGGGGCAGCGCTAACCCTGGCTGGACTCGGCCATGCAGAAAGGAAGAGGAGGGGCAGGGGAAGAGGCGGGCGACCCCAGACATCTGTGGAGCGCGAGCCAAACTGCAAGATACAAAGACAAGAGTCCCCCCATTGCAGGCGGGGGACGGGGGGATCTGTGCCCACCGTCCTCGCTCGCTCAGCCTCTGGGATGTGCCTGAGGGGTGGTCAAGGCTGGGCCCTGGTTCATCATTTCTTGTGTCAGGTCTAGGGAGAATGACAGATCCAAAGATCCTGGGGCTTCCACAAGAGAGGGTGTGCCAATAGTGAGGGTGGCCTAGTAGGCAGGGGTATATCCCATTTCTAGTGATGTGGTTAGTCTCCCTCCCCAGCTTTGAGCTCACTCTGAGGTCTGGGGGGAACAGATCCAACCCATCACTCTCAGCAAACTGCAGGGATTGTGCCTTGCTAATTAAGATATCCTGTGTCCAGCCCAAGGAAATCTCATGCTGTGGGGTTCAGAGGCTACAGGGAGGCAGGATGGGCACATCACTCACTTGTCTAGGCAGGCTACGCTGAGGCACTTCTCAGGAATAGAGGGGGCTGGGGGTGCAGGGGCATGGGCTCCGGTTGTATCCATAGAGGCTGTGTTTGAGGCAGCAGGGGTCGGCTCGCTCTCTCGAAGGATGGAGTCAATGAAGGCAGTTGGGGATAAAGGTGTATCCATGGAGGATGGGCGCCCAGGGCTTGCCTCCAGGACCCGAGGGCTCCGAGGTGGGCTGGGAGGCTCTTCCTTGACGCGGACCAGGGTGCTGCTGGACAGCGGCCTGAACATGTTAGACATTGGGAAACATGTTAGCTTCACCCACTTCCAACTTTGCCCAGGGCCCATAAAGGCTGGCCCACTAGGGTGACAGGAGGCATAAGGGTGATGAAGCCCCACCTCTCATCTATGCTCCTGCCTGGGGATGCCAAAGGGCTGGTAGGAGCCAGTTCAGTGATATCGGAGATTATGGGTCCAGAGCTGGTGACAGCATCAGAGGTGTAAAGGCTAGAGCTGCTGTAGGCTGGAGATGGAGCCTGCAATTAGAGACAAAGGCCACATGCAAGACATACCTGTGGTAGCCTGGGCCACCAGCACCCACTATACACTTAGTGGAAGTCCCATGAAGCTTGATGCTTACTGAGTATGGGCCAGGACCATGGACATGCTCCAGGGAGTACTGTCGACCATACTTGGGCACAGAGTGTGCTGAGGTGCTGTCACTCAACATCAGAGGGCTGCAGGGAAGAGACAGGTTAACTGCCTACACAGACCGTGGTGGTGCCCAGGATATTCAGCAAGCAGAGGACACCAAGGTGCAGGGCCAGAGTGGACAGTGCAGGCATCCCCAGAGCCTCACATCTTTCTCTTCACCCCCAGGATCCGGTTCGACTGCACCAGTGAGATCAGGAACTGAATGAGCTGTGGGGCAGAGAGGATACAGTCACCCTGGCCCAGTTATGGAGGGGACCCACCTACCACCAGCCCTGCCCACCTTGTTGACAACTTTTTGCTGCTGGGCATGCTTCTGCCGCAGGCTGGCCACCTCCCGCCACAGGGCCTCGTTCTCGCTGCAACACATTGCTGGGTCAATTGGGCCACATGTGAAGAGCTAGAGAGTCGGGCTGTTGACAGACTAGTAAGGCAGGTCTGGACCAGCTGAGAGCTCCCTGGCATCACTGACTCCCCTAGCTCTGCTATACCTCTAGGGGAGGATTCAAGTGTCAGCCAGGGAAGGAGGGCATGGACAGAGCCTGAGGGTACACCTCAGGATCCTAGCTGAAAGGGGGCCACAGGACTTGTCACATATTGGCTAGACACATAGGACAGGGCTTTGGGAAAGATCCTAAACTGCTGATTACCCTCAGTTTGGGGGTAAAAGGCAGCTGAACTATGATGCCCTGGACTGAGTGATAAAGGGAAGTGGGGGCCATTGGGAATAGAGAACAGCGGGGAGGTCTGGCCCCAGGACTGTTCTGGTAGGCTCCTGCCAGCCCTGATTTTAAGGGAGTCACATGTAAGGAGGGTCTGTGAGCTCAAATCCTGAAAATGTGGAGCCCAGCAGTGGAGTGAGAAGTGGGGGCAACAGGGAGTTCCCAACCCTATTCTGTGGAGAGGAACAGGCCAAGCAGTTTGTGCCACAGAAACAACGGAAGGCAGGTTGGGAAGGGGGAGGGAAGCCTGAACGTCTGCAGGGTGGGGCAGGAGAGCAACCCAAAGCAACCTGGCCACCCTCCTGAGCCTGGAGACCTACTGCTTCATGGCCAGGAGCTTGGAGTCCATACACTCCTGTTTCCCCTTCATCAGCTGCACATCCGTCAACAGCCTGGTGACGCTGTCCTGGCGTATTTTTATGTCCTCATTCTTCAAAGTGGACACCTAAGAATCGGGGCATACAAGAGTCTGAAGGGCTCTGGAGTGTGGTAGGCTCCTGTGCTTCACCTAGGCATCCAGGGAGTGGGGAGGGCCCGGGAAACACTGGGGTGAGGGGGAGTCGGAGAGAGATGAGTAGAGGGACAGGCTCTGCTCTCAGGCTAGTCTAGCAGCACCACCTTGACACTGCTCTGAGCCCAGTCTGCAGGGAGATCTGAGGACAGGGAAGGGCTGTACTCAGGGCTGGTGACTCACGCTGGTCACTTTCCTCTTGATGTTCTCAAGGAGCTGTTCCTGGCCACGCAGGAAACATGGATGCTGGAACTCGGTGTCATCCCTCTCAGGCTTGACCAGGCCACCCTGCTCAATGTGGACTACTTTTCGGAAGCCATCTGTGCATATGGGGGTGGGGCAGTTCTGCTTGAGGGCCAGGGACCAGACCCCAGACCTCCAACAGCCTAGCCATGGCCTAGGGCAGGCAAGGGGCCTCCTAAAAAACTGTGTGAGATTCTGGCTGGTGTCCATTTACCATAGCAAGTCAGTCATGGTTGGAAAAGACCTTGTCTTTGCACAGCTTCCCCTCTTGCAAATGGAAGTGTAGCTACTAGGGTAGGGTCTCACATACTCTTCCCTGGGAAATCCAGGCTTACACTCATGAGGAACCTTCCTTAGCCAACCCAGGCCCCCATCTCTCAGCAATATGTTGGGGTCTGCTTCTCCATACCCCAGGGAAGGAGGCATACTATCCCACAAGAGGTACTTACACATGTTGAGCTGCCGCACGAAGCTGGCCATGTTGTTGTGCTTGAAGTACTTGGGCAGCACCTCCTTGGCAAACTGGCCCTGGTCAAACACGTGGAAGCTGTTCCCACTCTGTCAGGAGACACATGGGCAGGTGGTATGTAGCAGCTGCCACCTATTTCCACCGTGGCCTGAAGTGCCTCTCCATGTGTGGGGGGCAGCACACATTCTCCTCCATAGTGGAGCAGGAGGTGAGCTAATCTTAGGACTCCATGGCTGGCATCCAGACCATGGAGCCTAGCTCTGAACAGTGAGAACCATGTAACTAAAGACAGGGTCCTACTCCCTGGCAGGTTTCAGTTGCTAGGTTTAGACTCATAAATCACCCAGAACATTCTGGTCATCTCTAGGGGCTAACTAGCTTTAATCAGCAAATTTTCCTTAAGAACAATGAAGACTGGCTGGGCATGGTGGCGCATGCCTTTAATCTCAGCACTTGGGAGGCAGAGGCGAGCAGATCTCTGTGAGTTCAAGGCCAGCCAGGCTACACAAAGAAAACTCTGTGTCCAAAAACAAAAACAAAAACCAAACAAACAAAAGAATAGCTAAGATGGAGATGGCTCAGATATACCACCTCATTCTTTTTCTTTTTGTTTTTTTTTAGATAGAGTTTCTCTGTATAGCTCTGACTGTCCTGGAACTCTGTTGACAGGCTGGCCTCGAACTCACAGAGATCCGCCCGCCTCTGCCTCCCGAGTGCTGGGATTAAAGGCGTGCGCCACCACCCTTGGCAAGAACAAGATTGTTGAACAGTGCATGGCTGCACTTCTGTGCTAGTGCTCTCCTGAACACAGTCCAGGAGGGGCCATGGCAACTCCGAGGCATTAGATACTGGAGTGGGGAGGCCCACAGTGGGAAGGGGACAGTAGTCTCATGGATGCACAAGACAAATCAGCTCAGGAACAGTTCTCTTCACTGAGGTGGGGGACCTTTAATAGGCAGATAGAATAAATCAAAAGGAGCCCAAGGTGTTGGGTTAGCACTGGGGCTGCTTTCCCAAATGCAGAGGAGTGAAGCAAGCAAGACTAAAGAGAAGCACAGGGCAGGTGGACACAGGAGGAAGAGGACCCAAAGCAGCAGGGAAAGCGTTAGTAGGAGCATGGTTTCAGGGAAAGCAGTGGGCTCTGGATACCAAGCATCAGGTCCCCATTCTTGCTCAGCTTTGAAACCAGTGGGAATAATGGCAGTAGGAAGATGGGCGAGAGCTAGCTCAAGGTCCTGGTACTAGAGGACTCTCACAGAAAGGCTGGCTTTGCTTGACCCGAGGCTGACCCAGTCCAGAAACATGAAGCATGTAGAGGAAGATTTTAAATGGCTGCTGAGACAATGTCTAATACAGGTTAGCCAGAAACCTTAAAAAGTAGTGAATGAGGGCTCACTAGGGACTCCAAAGGCTACGCACACTTTAGAGCTGTTACATGCTCAGGGAAGACCTTCGAGGGTCATAAGCTCTCCTGCTGGCAGGAATGGGGAGTAGGATGTAAAGTGGAGTTGTTAACTCCCAGGCTACATGTTAAAGATGGGAATCAACACACACACACACACACACACACACACACACACACACACACACACACACACACACACACACACGGAGGCCCCAGGAAAGACTGGAGACTCATTGGCTCCAGCTGTTTAAGGAAATTTTAGCCCCATTTACCCAATTAGGTCAACTGGACAAAGTGCAATGTCTACCAAGAACATAAACATGACATAATTAGTCCAGGAAAGTCACCAGACCTAAAAAGGCACAATGACAAAAGTAACAGATGCAGGGGAGTGCTCTTTCACAGCAGCCATCACTAATGAAAGTCAAAAACAATGAGGCACTTAAACTAACAAAAGCTATGGTTAGGACTGGTGAGGTGGCTGTGGCCAGGTTTTTGCTGCTTGTAAGATTGTTCCCTGGTCTTGAGCTCATAGTTGGATTATGACGTGACCATTATGAATCCCTTTTAGTATTTTTTTAAGATAATGTAATTAAAATTAAAAAGAAAAGCTAGCGCTTATAATAGGTGGAAAAAAAGCAACCAATATACCTGCTATGTTGGACTCATGAGAATAAAGATTCTAACTTAGCTGCTGGGAGTTGGTGGTGCACGCCTTTAATCCCAGGACTCGGGAGGCAGACAGAAGCAGGCGGATCTCTGTGAGTTCAAAGTCAGTCTGGTCTAAAGAGTGAGATCCAGGACAGGCACCAAAACTACACAGAGAAACCCTGCCTAGAAAAACCAAAAACCAAAAAAAAAAAAAAAAAAAAAAAAAGAAAGAAAGAAAAAAGAAAAAGAAAAAGAAAAAAAAGATTCTAACTTAGCTATTTTACTTAAAATAGTAAGGCCAAAGACCTGAAGAAGAACCATACACAAAGGACCAGGGTGTAAGGATGATGTCCTACTGAGTGGAGAATCTCAGGAAAACAATACAAATGAAAAAGAAACACCAAGTTGACTCTGGAATCAGAAAGCAAACTCAGGTTAAAAATTCATCTGGGGGCCGGGCGGTGATGGCACACACGCCTTTAATCCCAGCACTCAGGAGGCAGAGGCAGGCGGATCTCTGTGAGTTTGAGGCCAGCCTGGTCTACAGAGCTACTTCCAAGATAGCCAGGGCTACACAGAGAAACCCTGTCTCAAACAAACAAACAACTTCACCTGGGGACTCAATGAAGCCAAGAACAGGGAGACTGTGAGTCAAGAAGGGCAACAATAGGCCAACTGAGGTTATAGCGCGAAGACAGGAAGAGTGTGGTGGTGTGAGTATGTACCCAGGGGCTCATATGTTTGAATGCTTAGTCACTAGCGAGTGGCACTATTTGAAAGGAATAGAAGGACTATTCTATTAGTGTGGCCTTGCTGGAGAAAATGTACTACTGAGAGAGGGCTTTGAAGTTTCAGGATGTAGCTTTTGATTACTCCAGCACCTTGAGTGCCATCATGTTTCCTGCCTTGATGATAATGGAATAAACCTCTGAAACTGTAAGCAAACCTCCAATTAAATGTTTTCTCTTATAACAGTTGCTGTGGGGGCTGGAGAGATGGCTGAGCACTTAATAGCACACTGGCTGCTCTTCTAGAGGACCCAGGTTCAATTCCCAGCAGTCACATGGCAGTTTACAACTGTCTGTAACTCCAGTTCCAGAGGATCTCACACAGACATGTATGTAGGCCAAACACCAATGCACATAAAAAAAAAAGTTGTCCTGGTGTCTCTACAAAGCAACAGAACAAAGACTAGACAGCATAAAAGTGAACAGAGCTGTGGAGACCTGTGAGGCATCATCAGACCCACAATGCTTAATGGGAGGCTCAGAAGATGAGAATGGACAAATTTTAGGAAAAATAATCAAGAACATACCAAATTTGATGTAATATCCAAGACACTAAATGAACTTCAAACAGGAAAAACTAAAAGAGATTCATACATGGTCATTTATTTCATAATCCAACCCCCAAACCCAAGACCCCAGAAGGGCCTTGTAAGCAGCTAAGTCACAGCCATATCAGCAGAGATGGTGGATGACCCATGGATCAGCTGCAGGATGAGACAGTCAATCAGGAATTCCTATCCCTGAAGATGAAAGGGAAAGCCCCACTTCTGGGCCAGGAGTGTGAAGCTCTGGGCAAGTGCCTCCTCTCCAGTAATACACACAAAGCTTGTTTAGATCACTTAATGCCTGAAATTGTTCCACAGGCATCAAACAAATAAGAATGACCGATGAAACCACTAAACTCATTCGGTCAGTGAGTACCTGTGGCATGAACTAGTCTATTCTCCTTGTCACTAAGTCCCCGTATCAGATGCTGCCCCCCCCCAACTGTGGCTAAGTTGTGGGGACCCCTCTCCTCAGTTCTGTCAAGGTTTAAGGATACTACTGGAAGGATGTGTCTTCTCCAACTGTCGGTCCATGAGATCACATTCCTGCTTGGACAGGTCCCCCACCTCACTCACAGTGCTTCCAGATAGAGCCTAGTCTCAGGGCCAGAGAAGACTAGAATATGCATGGTGAGAGTGTTGAGCTGGGAAGTACAGTAGCTACTGCCCAGTCATGTGACCCGAGTGTTTGCCCACAGGAGATACAATCCATGAGCGCTCTAGCTCACCTGAGGTCAAACCACACTGGAAAGCTCAAGCCCCAGGGAGTGCTGACAATAAGGCAAGCCTGCCCAGATGGGACAAGGAAGCTGAGAAGAGTCCTTTGGGATTAGAACAAATGGAAGACCCACTCAAATCTGCTCTCACTCAGGGAACCCACTGAAATACCACAAGCAAAAGCAGCCCAACAATCTCACTACTGGTCACAAATTTAACTGGATCTGACTGCCCAACAATCTGTGGCCCAGAGCACTGTATAAACAGCAAGCCAGGTAGTAATTGCTGGTGCTTCGATTCGGGAGGTGACAACCGTGAGGCAGCGAATGTCATCAAGGAGAAGCAGTCTTTCTGAAGAAGCCTGGCCAACTCACAAGCAAGCAAAATGACTCAGCCACCACTGAGTCCCACAGTGCACTAGGGACCTACAGAAACTGTCACGTGTGACTCACACATGGTGGACAAGGAGGAGCAACAGAAACTGCCCAAGAAGGACAAGACACCAATTTAACAGAAAGTCTAATATCATTGTAAACATGCTGAGGGGATGGAGAGATGGCTCAGCAGTTGAGAGCAATTGCTGTTCTTGCTGAGGACAAGGATTCCATTCCCAGCACCTACAGAGCAGTCTGCAAGTCTGCATGTCCAGTTCCAGGGGGCCTGGCACCCTCTTCTGGCTTCCACAGGCACCAGACATGCATGCAGTGCATTTTCATATATGCAGGTAAAACTCATACACATAAAATAAGAATAGATAAATACACTCAGAAAAATAAGGAAATAATGTTTGAAGAAGCAAAGGAAGGGCCATTAAACATAGACTTACTAATGGGAAATGTCCTAAGGGAGATCTGGTTCAAACCCCCATGAAAAGATAATTAGTAAGCCCAACAGTAGATTTGAGTGCAGAAAACTTTTGAAAATAGATGAAAGCAAATAGAGAAACAGAAGATAAAGACAAACGTGATATGTACTCACTTATA